GCAGCAACACTCAGCAAAGGCGAAGAGGATCACAGTGTTCTATATGACCACTACTACAGTCTCCTTTGAGCACTTGTGAGCCACAGGGATGTCACCGACTCATGCTAGGAATATGGCACAGCCTCCGACAAGGTGTGGCACAGCCACCCAACTAGTCACAGTCCGAGATGTGTCGTCCACCTGCCATGAGAAATTGATTTTGCAGCATGCCTGAACCCAGCTACTGCTGCATCATCGATTGCTCTATCCTGCAATCCGAGGCCCCAGCTACCACATGGCACCAGCAGTCCTTGCTCGCGTGCCCTCTGCTGGTGTTCTATGACTCCAGTCGTCCTGCGTTGCCCTGAGCTTCATGCTTGGTCATAAGACTCTGTAATTCTGTGCATGCATACCGCAGCTGTCAGTTCGAACTGTCGATACCGTAGGCAGCAGCAGAAGTACAGCAGCTTGCTCTACAGACATGCCTTGCAGAAGCTAAGACTTCAGAACAAACTGCGACTCCGCGAAGAGCACAGCTCACCTCTTGGCCGCGTGTCACAGACTCTGGCCCATCAGCTAAAGCTGAGACCATGGACACCCCTCCAAGTTTGGGACCCTTTCTGGTGCTCAGCGATAGCACCTTGCAGCACATGCTGCGGGGACATACGTACGGAGTGTTCCCACTGCTGACGGGACAGGTCTTAAGCTGTCCAGGCGCCGCCCTCAACATTTCTGCTAGCAGCGTCCCCTCCATCATGGAGCTCCTCCACTGGCAATTTGGCCTCTTTGGGCCGCACAAATTCAAGGCGGCGGTTCAGAGTCAGCCGGTGGCCTCCATTTTGGAGAGCCACCTTGACGGACAAATTAATGTTCGCTTCATTCCGCTGTCAAGAAGCTTGCGCCCGGAGAAGCAAGTCAATTATGACTACCTGATAGACGGCAGGGTCCAATATGGTTTTGCGGACAAAAACCTGCCAAATCAGGAAATCATGGATTTGGCACAGATGCCTGGTGTAGGAGGGGTAGAATGGCTCTACAACTCCAAGAATCTCCACTTCCGCCCCGATGTTGCGGACATCGTCATCCCGGCACTTGTCACAAGAGCCATTGAGGAAATGCGCAACACCCCAGGACTGCCTGTCCTCGTGGTTGCTGGCTGGAATGCTCGCCAGCAGGACATGCATGTCGAAATGCTTGCTGCCCAGGCTCTTTCACAATGCCGAACTGTCCGAGATCTTTCGGAGGTTGCCATGCAGTACGGACATGGCCCCTGGGGTATGCGCTTCATGCATCTCCCAGAATGGGAGGCCGCCCCCGTCCCGGCCCTCCTCTTCCAGACCTATGTCCACGACGACAAGCCGGAGCCAGCCCAAGTTGCGGCCAAAATGTTTGCAGGCTTCACCCGCAAATTCTGTGATGATGGTATCCTTCGGGCTACCCTGCGGCAACTTGCCGGAAAGTACGGCTCCAATCTGCTGGACCGCCTCAGTCAACCTGCTCATAGAGCTGACGTGTTCCGCTACGTCTACCACTACCAGCACGGCGGCCTCTATGTCGATATCAAATGTGGCTTTGTGGTACCCTGGGAACAGGTACTGAAGCTTCTGGCAGCAGATTGGAGCACAGCTCACTCAACGAAGGCAGGTGAAGTGGGTCACAGACCCTCCCCACCTGGCCAACTCCCAAAGGAGTTCATGGTCATCACATCTTTCAAGGCATCATCTATGGCAAGCCCAGGCACCCTTTGATGAGGGAGGCCATACAGCACGCCTTCAGCCGTCAGGTTATGACAGCGAAGGCGAACCTGGAATACATGATCTTCTGCAAATTTCTCTGGCAGATCTTGAGTCGAGACCTTGGTCATTCCCCTCAAGCGGGCTGGAATGTTTCCGCCAAGTTTGGCCCCATCTACCTGTTCTCGGAGCGTTGGGACAAGCGCGTGAAGAACAAAAAGTACGACAACGACGGCCACTACTTTGTGATAGCCAACAACACGACAGTCGCCTACACCAGGTGCTGGAAGTGGATGAAGGGCTTTCAGGGAGACCCCACTACCAAAGAACGAACCGATCGCATGCTGCAGAGCCAGCTACCCGACATCTCCCTGGAAATCCAGTCTGATAGACCTGAAGAGCACAGCTCACCTCAGCCACTTAGGTCACAGACCACGGCAACCGCCACATCAGCTCCTCCTCCTCCTACTCAGGAGGATATTGAAACCTATGTGGCAGACAGCATCCAGCACAACTCCTTTGCGGCGCTCATGGCCACAGTCCGTGAGACCCATCACTATAACCAAGATCTTACAGAGCAGGATGTGCTGGAGCTCATCCCCCGCGGCTTGGGACAAATGGAAGTATCAGGATCCATGTGGCTGTGCTGCCTCCACTGCCGGAAGCATAACCGACAGATCCAGTTCAGTACTGGCCACGGCCTCAAAAACCACTTTGTCACGCAGAAGCATGACCCGGTGTCACAACCTGCGGCACCAAGCGCCTTGTCGGCATCCCACACACCTCTTCCTCCCCCTCCCCCAAAGCACCCACAGGAGATTCCTCTTCCCCCCAGCAGTACCAGGACCAAAGGAACAGACAAAGCAGCCGGCTTTGAGCCGCCGCCTTCCCCCCCGTGCCCCTTCACTTCCTCAGCGGCTGAAAAGGCGGCTTTCAAGGCGGCCCCAGCGCTTCCGGCTAAGGCCCCACCGTCCATGGTGCCCACCCCGTGCCCTCAGCCTCCGGAAAATTCCTCCTCGGCAGCACCTGCTCCCCCACCGGCTATCCCTGTTTCCCCGATCCCTCCGCACCCTCCCAAGTCCGCCTCTTCCCCTGCCCCTGCCACCCAGGCCGCTCCGCGTTCCCACACGCCCCCTCCTCCTTCCTCCCGTCCCCCGTCAGCATATGAGCCTCCGGAAACCAATGCGGAACCCGTCAGCTATGTTCCACAGCCGGCTCCACAACAGACAGTACGATACACGCGGCAGGAGCTGGCTCAACTGCTGAGCTCCCAGTCCCACCAGGACTGGATTCGGGCCTTGGCTTCCATTAATATCCTGGTGGCTCCGGTCATTCTCGGCGGTCTCACCAACCATGAGCAACAGACCCTCTGGTCTACCAGGATGGACGCACTCCGCGAAGTTCCCCCGCTGTTCTCTGCCATCAAGTCGGTAAGGACACAAACAGGCCTCACATGGGACACCGCCATGTCGGTGAGGCGGGTCCTCACCAGCGATGGGAAGGTCACTATAGCCACAGGCGCGGGAGGAGCCTATCGTGAGCTGGATGCCCCCACAAAGGTGCATGGCCTTATCCATGCCTGCTTCAACAAGATGTGGGACGAGAAGGCCTTTCAGCAGCACTTCCCCTCGTGGGTCGAGTTCAACATGATCGCCACCACCATCGTGGCAGTCTACAATGAGACGGCCAAATCAGCCGGACTCCCAGCTCGTGTCTTCAGGGTCAAACCCGACAAAAATGCCTACTCCATCATGAAGATGCGGATTCAGCATGACAAGGGGCACGAGGAAGACAAGCGCATGGCCAAACTGGCTGCTGCTGCCCCTAACAAGCGCCCACAGATGCAAGAGGCTGACACAGAGGGCAAGCGACAGCGCGATGGCCCCTCCTCTTCATCCTCGACCCAGTGGGCCAGGCAGGCACGCTCCTCTCAAGAAGACGACTGGGATTGGTGGCAACAGTGGTCCTGGCACAGTTACTCTCAGCAGTGGCCGAAAGGTCATGACCAGTGAGGGTAGAGATATGTCACAAACTCTTTGATCCCTTATGTCACAGACTCTGGGAATTCGGCACTCTTCTGACGCTTAGCAAATCTCTTCGGAAGCCTGTGCACCGCGAGCTAACCTTGCTTAAAACAGCACTTCGCTGCACCAGAGGGCTGCCCACGTCCCAGCTGCCCACAGCCTCACTCCATCGGAGTTGCTTTCAGGTACATCCGGTCATGGGCATATGACCCTTACGGCCTTCTGTCTTCAACATGAGTAATCCGTGTGGGACGCCACAAGACGGATACTCCAGGTGTCGGCTTCGTCTGAGGTACGGCCTACTTGTTGTGACAGGTGCACAGATGGACGCGTCTGTTCACTCCAAGGTGTCGGAGGAGGAAGCTTTTGTAGCTGTAGTCTTTCAAGTTTGAGCTGATTAGAGAGGTATGAACGATGCATGCTAGAAGCAGTTTCACGAGTGCACGAGACCAAAGGCGCCCGCAAAGCGCAGAGCACGCTCGCGCAGCGTTCAATTGAAAAAGTAGTAGTAGTAGCACAGAAGTAGTAGTAGTAGTAGTAGTAGTAGTAGTAGTAGTAGTAGTAGTAGTAGTAGTAGTAGTAGTAGTTGTAGTAGTAGTAGTAGTAGTGTAGTAGCAGCAGCAGGAGTAGTAGTGGTTGTAGTTATTGTTGTAGTATTTTGGACAATAACAGCACTTCCGAGCCGCTGTTTTCTTGCATGGAAACAGACAGTGATATGGGAGTTGCCGAAAATTGGTGGTACCTTATTTTGGGGTCCTTGTAGTCAGGATCCTACTATTTCGGGTATTATGTCAGGGTCCCCTACTTTCGGAAACTCCATGTTGATATCGGTCTTTTCGTCATCCCCACGTGTGAAGAAGTGCTCGGAGCTGGTGCGACATGCACTGCAGGTGCTTGTAAATCTCGTCTACTTGGAGGTTCATGGGTAGTTATAAGTGGGTTATAAGTAGGGTAACTATAGTTATAAGTCCTATTGAGGGACTTATAACCCTACTTATAACTACCCATGAACCTCCAAGTAGAGTTTGCTACGAAAATGCCAGATCGACCCCTGCACCCCTCAACCTACAGGGAACTCCAGAAAGTTGGAATATGGTCTCATGGTAGGATACCCTATAACTTACCATAGAAGGGCTAGGATAATCATATTCCAACTTTCTGGCTTTTACCTTAAACTTCCTAAAAACTGAGCCCTACATTTCTGAACCCTAAAACCCTAACCCCTCAACCCTAAACCCTAAACCCCAAATCCAGGCCCAGGCACCATCCCCCACGTTGCGTCTGAGAGTCCCCAAGCCGATAAATCCTGACGACACGGGAAGGATCGAGAGTTTACCCTGCAACATTCAAACAGCTTCCGAAATTGCCGTACCACCTCTAAGTCTCGCCGGTTTCGCTGTAGTCTTCCATGACACAGGACTGGGCAACTAGTGGTAAGCGACAAAGTTGGCAATATTTCACCAGCGCCGAACCAGCGCCCCGCTAGCGCCACTGCGACCTACAACACATGAAATAATCATTACAAAATTGTGTTTCAGGGGCCAGCAAGAAACCCTTAACACACACCAAGAAGCCAAAACCCTGAGAAACCTATGCTTTAGCAGCCTAAAATTCGGTATTTCAGATTCGGAATCCAAAAACCGCGAGCGGGTCCTTGCATTTCGCCCTGAGCAGCTGCAGCAACCTCGGGAAACGATGGTCCGACTTCGCCAGCTGAGCCTCGCCGGCTTCCACCTTGGAATAGCCAGCAAAGGGCTCCTTTTAAGGGTTCTACTAGGGATCTTTAGGGTTCCTTTTAAGGGTTCTACTAGGGATCTTTAGGGCTCCTTTTAAGGGTTCTACTAGGGATCTTTAGGGCTCCTTTTAAGGGTTCTACTAGGGATCTTTAGGGCTCCTTTTAAGGGTTCTACTAGGGATCTTTAGGGCTCCTTTTAAGGGTTCTACTAGGGATCTTTAGGGCTCCTTTTAAGGGTTCTACTAGGGATCTTTAGGGCTCCTTTTAAGGGTTCTACTAGGGATCTTTAGGGCTCCTTTTAAGGGTTCTACTAGGGATCTTTAGGGCTCCTTTTAAGGGTTCTACTAGGGATCTTTAGGGCTCCTTTTAAGGGTTCTACTAGGGATCTTTAGGGCTCCTTTTAAGGGTTCTACTAGGGATCTTTAGGGCTCCTTTTAAGGGTTCTACTAGGGATCTTTAGGGCTCCTTTTAAGGGTTCTACTAGGGATCTTTAGGGCTCCTTTTAAGGGTTCTACTAGGGATCTTTAGGGCTCCTTTTAAGGGTTCTACTAGGGATCTTTAGGGCTCCTTTTAAGGGTTCTACTAGGGATCTTTAGGGCTCCTTTTAAGGGTTCTACTAGGGATCTTTAGGGCTCCTTTTAAGGGTTCTACTAGGGATCTTTAGGGCTCCTTTTAAGGGTTCTACTAGGGATCTTTAGGGCTCCTTTTAAGGGTTCTACTAGGGATCTTTAGGGCTCCTTTTAAGGGTTCTACTAGGGATCTTTAGGTTCCTTTTAAGGGTTCTACTAGGGATCTTTAGGGCTCCTTTTAAGGGTTCTACTAGGGATCTTTAGGGCTCCTTTTAAGGGTTCTACTAGGGATCTTTAGGGCTCCTTTTAAGGGTTCTACTAGGGATCTTTAGGGCTCCTTTTAAGGGTTCTACTAGGGATCTTTAGGGCTCCTTTTAAGGGTTCTACTAGGGATCTTTAGGGCTCCTTTTAAGGGTTCTACTAGGGATCTTTAGGGCTCCTTTTAAGGGTTCTACTAGGGATCTTTAGGGCTCCTTTTAAGGGTTCTACTAGGGATCTTTAGGGCTAGGGATCTTTAGGGCTCCTTTGTGGGATTTCTGGTTTGGGTTTGGCCGTGGTCTCGAGATTTTGCGGCAGAAATCGTCAATAGCATCACCCCTGTCCCCAAATCGTTCCTCTGAGCCCCACACACTGGACTTGGCAACTCGATGCACGGCCGTCGAGGTATTCCGAAAGTCGAAGAGATCTCCCAAGTTCTCCACCACGGCGAGGACCTGACACCACATGTCTGTATGTCGAGCGGCCCAGACTCTAGAACCCAATTGCTCTGGAGTGAACATCTTTGCCAGAAGTATGACAAAGGTGTGACTCTGCAAGCTTAGCACCCTGCCTCGCGCCAGTTTCTGCACTCTGTCACTGACACCTGCATCTCGATCGTAAGCTGCTTTGAAGGAGGTGGCGGTCTGTAGACATAGCCTTGGACCATGCAAGGCAGCATGATCACTATAAGCGTAAAGCTAGCACTAAGAACGCGAAAAATCGATAGAAGTTGCGTATCCAGAGCGACAGAGATGATGAAAGTAATGAGAACAATATTGACAGTGAGAGCATGGCATCGACACGGGGGATCAGGAAAATGACAGTGATGACGATGATGGATGAGGCTGATGCATGCTGTGGTGATGGCTTGATGCAGGTTCTGATGCCGTTGCAGGATATTGCAGGGATGTGGCGCTGACAAGTGACATTACAATACTGATGGCAGTCATAGGTCCATGATGAAGTTGTTGATGGGAAAACGAGGACGATCGTAAAAACATGGTGGTATAAGGAAGGTCATGACGATGATGACGATGATGATGATGTTGATGCCGATGATGCTGATGATGCTGATGATGAAGTTGATGATGTTGATGATGACGACGGTGATATTCATGTTTGATGATGCTTGTGATGGTGACGATGATGACGACGATGTCAATGATGACGATGATGTATAGGATGTTGCGACGATGATGATGATGGTGATGTGGGGGAGGAGGAGGAGGAGGAGGAGGAGGAGGAGGAGGACGACGAGGATAACGATGCCGATTGGGAGGATGGTGAGGATGGTAAGGATGGTGAGGATAGCGATGCTGGTGCTGGCACAATCCCCAAAGCTTTAACCCAAACCCTGCCCTAAACCCCAAACTGGCTGCAGCTGGAAGCCGTGAGGGCCAAGAACACAACCGTTGACAATGTCATCCTCCGAGAGCACAGCCGCTCCGTTCGACATGGCTGGAGAGAAGGCACACAATCTAGAAGTGTCCGGTCCTTCCAAAATCCCGCAACTAAGGAACATGCTTAAATCATAGAAGGGATCCTACTATAAATGTAGGTTATATTCCGTAGCCAACGGATTTTGGAAGGTCTGGGTAGACGGCTAAACCCGAAAGTCCAAACCCAACCAATAGCCTCTAACCGAAGCCTTTCATAAACAGGAGACAACCAGTCGCAGAAAAAACTCCACCGAACACGTTGGACCTAGGTTATACGTGAGAGCTTTCCGAAATCCGGACAATAAAACAGAGGACCAAGATCGCTCAGGAAGCAGACGCCGATTATAAAGAGGGACTTGAAAGGGGGAATGCGATTGTCAATTATTCTGTTTCCTGTAAAAGACATCTCTCTTCACGAGGACTTGTGCGAGCAAAGCTTCTTCAATAAGAATATCCTTGCCCACTCTTGTCTTCATACGATCACTGTCGCTGCCAGTCAAAGAAGTGGTTCAAGTTTCTATTTCTTTTTACGAGCACATCGTGGCTATTACGATCATTACAATAAGTCCCACACTAAGTGTAGTTAGCAGGGTGTGTTGGAGCATGACATCTCCGCACATGCATTGATCCAGCTGGGCTTTGGCATGCCGGAAGAAGCTGTGAAGCGGGCTCTCATGCCATGACGACAAGATGGAATGTTGTTGAGCCCCTCTTCAAATCGTTAGGGTAGATATGTCCGAAGACATCCCTACATCCCTATATCTCTTATAGAACCCTTATAGGATCCCTTTTGAGGAACCGTTTCAAGGAACCTGCAAGCTCGAGGATGGCCAGTCAGTATGGCCTTGCTTACCGGATGTGCGATTCTGCGCAGACTTGTGATCTCATACGTCGCCGGCGGAGCAACGATCGAAAGAACCTAATGCAGGGGCCTTTATACTTAGAACAGGGCTTGGGGGTACATTGTACTATAGTTATAATAAGGAACCCCGACATTACTGGAAAGGCCTCAACCATTTGGGGATGGCATAGGAATACACTTATAAGTGCAATCATGGGACATTGACACTATCCTCCATATTACACACCCACACTTTCATGTTCATCTGCTTGAACGTCGCTACCGGGTTCCAACCGTAAATCCTGCGACAGCTAACACGCATACACTGACTTCGCTGCTTCATCTCCTTGCCCTGCAGAGCTACAATCATGTCAGGCGTACAGTAGCGATACCGACGTGACCAACAACAAGCAGCTTCGTCTTGCAAAGCAGGGCTGGACTTGGATAAACTGCTGTATCGCCGAATCATCACATGCTTCAGGAATGCAGTGTTTGTGCATGACAACAGCAATCTCAGCATGAAAGCAGCGACAGACGTGCGAAAGCACAAACACCTGAGACCCTGCGACACTGTTCTACCACCAACTGCCTGCTACCTAGTAGTACTCACCACCCCGTATCCCAGGTTTCAAGTTCGTCGAAACTTCATGACTTTATTCTCCCGAGCCAACCTCTAGTCTCACGTTGAGCTGAAGCTTGTGGTCACTTCTGACCCCACGATGCCCATACTCTCCAAACTCCGAACCACCCTCAACGGCAGCTCTTTCTTGCTCTGCTCATGAGTTCATGGGTGCAGAGAAATGGCATTTCCATCCGTGCTTCACGCCGACACCAGCGGGCCTTCACCTGAATTGGCGGCACGTTCCATACACTTTGAGCTGCAGGTCTGCAGAGTCGGGGAGCTGCGATATGAATCAACGCAACCTTCATGAAGTACTCTGCGTAGCTTCGGTGAAGAGATGTCCTCGACGTAAAACCCAAAACCCCATAAGGGAAAGGCGAGCTCATGCAGAGGAGTGGATGCAAGCTGCATCACGCGCAATTTCTGATATTTTTTAAGTGCAATGGCGTCTTTTCTGAGATTTAGGGTTTCGGGTTTACGGTTTAGTTTGTAGAGTTTAGGGTTTAGCCATAGTTCACTCGCACCTGTGAAGATGTACATCTCAGTGTCTGAGTGCATCACGGGAAGCGCTCTCAGATCCAGATGAGACCGACGACGGGTCGCTTGTGTCATCTGAAGCACGGCACTCTTCGGGAACGCCAGGCGGCTTTTGTATGTGCCCTCAGCCTTGCAATGGGCATTGTCCCTTGTTGCCCCATACCCTCCAACCCTAAACCTCCAAACCTTTAAATCCAACCTTCTAGGAACCCCCGCAAGGCACAGACTCCTTCCCGGAAGACTAAGAGAAACCCAGGGATCTCTGCGCCGGAAGCTTGAGAGGTTCGCTAAAGGGTCGCTTACGAGGTTCCTGCAGGGTTACGCGGTTGGGGTTGCTAGGTTCCTCTAAGAATTCTACAGGGGCTTCAAAGGAAGGTTCTTCTGGACATGCAACGACGACGGTCCAGGCCCCGTCCTCCATCAGAGCCGGTTCACCAAGCTCTAAGGACTGCCGTCAGCTTCTTGGGAGCTCCCAACGAGGGCTTCTCTTAGGGCCTAGCTGCCTAGCAGTAGCTTGGGGCTCGGCGTTCAGCGATCTCGCGGCGCCTTCGAGACGCATGAAAAGCAGATCCGGCGGTGTCGGGCCCGGAGCCTGAGCCTCGCGTTCAGAGGCCCGGCAGCCAAGACGAAGACAGGGCCGACTCCGCGTCAACGGGCTGTGAAGAAAGAATGCTCGTCGCAAGGAAAGGGGTTCTAAGTCCTAGGATGCCCTGCGCCGACAATCTACCTCAAGCTCACGGTGTCCTCTCCACCCTTCCAAACCCAGACCGACAGAAACAACACACGCGACCTGTGAAAACCATCACTGCGCAAGTGCATACGGTGACGGGTCGACTTGAAGACCTGCGTTGTGGGACGTCTCAAGAGTCTCGGCGACAACCGCACCCTTTCGGAATTCCCTGTTTGCCACAAGGAGCAGGCCCTCTGGTCGCAAACGCGGAGATGCTCAGCATTCCCAGGCAACGTCCAACGACGAAGCTCAGAGTTGGTGCGGCCGGATCTACCCGTGAGGCGAAACCCTCCTCGCGGCTGAAAGCTCCACTTGCGTTTCAGAACTTCAGACGACGTCCGGGGCAGAAACACTCAGGTTTCAGGATACATTCCGAGCTCTCACAGCGCAGTGCCCAAAATTTGAATCTAATTCTCCGAACCTTGGTTCATGGTGGCTTCAAGCAGTTCTGATGCCACCCTACACTGAATTCTAGCTTGAAGTGCGACGGATCACCGGACGGTGCAGCCGGGCCCCTGTCCGGGGTGGTCGCAATAGGCTCCGTGCTATTTCGGGCCCAGTTTCCCTCCCTTCCTGCGTCGGTGCATTTTGTCTGAGAGTCGCCCTTCCCCTAAAACCCTCGACCCTAAGCTGCATAAACCCTTAACCCTTAACCCAATACAGCTTTGTGGAGCAGGCGCCATGCATGTCCATGAAGCATGCATGATGCTCTGGGAACAGCATGACTCCGCACTGAAGAGCCCCAAAGTCCTATAACTTACCTTTGGTTCGTAGGGAATGGAAGAATGGTAGCATTAGTAGTTATAACTTGTACCCCATTTCTCCATTCCCTACTATCCAAAGGTAAGATAAAGCATGAGGAACCCCGAAACCTCCTCCTTGCCAGGGCAAAGCTCGGAAGAAACCTCCTGACGACTCTGTGACACTTGAGACTTGCTGTTCTGGTCCGCCCAGTCCCTATAGGGTCCCTAGAACCCCATAATTGCTACGGTAACCCACTAACCTGAACCCTAAACCCTCAGGGTAGCCCGTTACAGCGCTGGGCTTCCATGCCCGGACTCCGCTTCCCTTGCACTTCAGCCTGGCAACTTCTCGCGAGCGCACCAAGGAAGAGGCCCAGGGACCCTTAAATGGAACCCTTTCAAAGAGCCCTTTAAAAGAAACCCTCAAGTGTCCTTGAGTGCTCCCGAGCTTCAGGGCTTTTTGGCACAAGACTTGGAAAAGGCGTGCGGAAGCTTCGGTCTCGTTTCCTTGCGTCGCAGGCGGATATTCTGACATTCTCGGCGCCTTTCAACGCTTTTGGGTTAGGGGTCCTCTCCAGGCTCGGTCAGGAGAGGGGCGCCCCCAAAGCCACCAAAACGGAACTATAAGGGGCCCTAAGGCTCCCCTCCGAAGGAAGACGTAAGCGGCCTGAAGGGAAGGGGAAGTCACTTCTTGATGGGAAACTGCTAGCCTTTGAAGCCTAAGTGCCCCGGGAAATTACAGGCCACGTGCTCTGCGCCTCAGCTTTTCCATCCTTTGAGATTTTGAGGCTTGGGGCTTGCATCGCGGCTTGATGCCAGCCACCGGTGGACCTTCCAAGGAAGCACAATGTGCTCTAGGCCGGCTTGACATGTCTTGGAAGTGACACCGTTTCCCAGCTTCTCTAAGCGGTGCACTCAGTGCACAGCGACTGTGGGCCAAAGCATCATGCAGCGACCGGTTCAACCAGCCCAGTCCCTCTACATAGACGCACTCGCAGCTCAGTCTAGCTCGAGTAGAAGCTTGGCCGAGCTACAAGTGATCTCTCCCTCACATTGCGAGCTTTCGTTGATGTAAGATCTCGCAGCCTCTTCGCCAAGTTGCACCTGCTTGTGCATTGCACGGGCTAACAGCTCATCTTCAACTTCAGCAGCTGCATCTTGACTGCTTCTGGGTTGCTATGGCATGGTTGCCTACCCGTCACTTTCCGACATCCATTGCCTAGCTCAGCGATGAGCGTCTGTGGGTCTGAATTGCTCCCTTTGCCCCTTCCCGCGCGGGTTTTGCAGCTTGGAGCTGACCGCAGTGAGCAGTTCATCTCTCCTTCACTCAAAGGCACAGGGAGATGGCTAAGGGGTTTTTAGGGTTTAGAGGAGTGCTCTTTCGCCCATGGCACAGTGAAGAAGAAGTCGCCAGAGGGTTTAAAATCTGAGTTAAAGCCGGGCGCTTGGAGACGCCAACTCCGAAGGCAAGCTCAAAGACTCATGGAACAAAGACTTTCAAAGAAGCTCAGAATTCCCGATTTTATTACCAGGCCCTACAACCC